TCTTTTTATAGTCTGAGCTTTACTCTTGTAACAAATTTGTAATTAGAATAGATTTTGTAATTTATATCCAGAGAAGCTTCTGGAGGCATCTTTAACAAATTAATAAAGATATAAGCAAAACCTCACCTTAACTCTAAAAAAAAAATAATAATAATAATTGTTATTATTATCATTATTAAAATATAAAGTTAAATATATAGCAATAGAATTTATTTTATTATAAAACAATCAGCAAATAAGAACAATAATAAATTTGGAGCTAAAGAATAAACAAGATTATTAAAATTCTTTAAGATAAGAAAACTAGTTATTATCTTTTTGAAGTAATCTTGATTAATCATATTAAATAATTAATTAATGAAATTAATAAATAATTAAACTTATAAGAATAAGTAATTTATAATGTAATATTTATTTTAAATAAAGAATAGTTTTATTGTTTATCGATATAAATAATTAGAATCGCTAATATCTGAAAAGTAAATAACTTATTTATAAAATTAAAATATCTTTAAAGTTGAATTTAATAGCTTGCAATATCAAATTATTTTATAAATAATTATGAATAAGTTTGTAATTCGTAGTAAAGAAGCTTTTTTATTAAACCAAAAATGTAATGATAATATAAATAAAAATAGTAAACTTTTTCCAAGACCAGCTAAAGAAAATTCAAAAAAAAAAATCAGATAACAAAAAACATGAAAGAACTGATTGGAATCCTGAATAGCCAAAACAGTTTGCATAGTTAGACTAATATATTATTAATAAAAAGCTTTTTTATTTTGTATTTAGTATGAAAAATATCCAACTGCTGACAATATTTTTATTAAAGGTTGTGGTACTTTTTGAAAAGATTATCTTAATCAACATATTAAAATAAATGATCATATAAATGTGATGAAAGCTTATAATCAACCAGCAAATCAAATAAATTTGTTTACTGAATTTACTATACAAGCTAATTATAATAAATTAGAAATTATTTCAAAGATGCAATGTGTATATTTATGTGTACAAAAACATCTTACAATTTTTGCTTACCCAAATATTATTAATTTGATAAATTTAAATCTAAAAAATTAAACTGAATTAGTATATGATAGTGAAGTTCAAACTTTAACTTCTCTATTTTTTGGTCTAAAAAAAGAAAAATTAGTTATAAATTTTTTTGAAAACTCTTCAAATTATGCAAAATATACTAATTCAGTTTCTAGAACTACATTTTTACATGCAATTGCAACAGTAATTGAAGAATCAGTTTTAGAAGAAACAAGAAAATCATCAGTCTGGAGTTTGTTAATTGATGAAAATAATACAATTACACATAATAAAACTTGTGCAATTGTAAACAAACATGTAACAAATAATATTTTTGTACTTCAGTATTTAGGATTAATTGAATTAAAAGAAGTAGATGCAATAGGTATTATAAATAATTTAATCAAATTTTTTTTAGCAAAAATATTAGAACCTTCAAAATTATTACATTTTGAAAGTAATGGTGATAGTAAAATAATAAGTTTGTATTATATATTTTAACTTTATTTATTAGCAAATTATTAATTATTATAATTTTATTTAAAGAGTTTGAAATGGCATTGCTACAAAACTTAAAAAATTAAATTCTTTTATGAGTAATTGTCATTGTATTGCTCATTGATTAGCTTTAGCAGAAAAAGATTTAGCAAAAGATGTACCTTATTTCTTGATTATGAAATTACAATTAAAGAACTTTATATATATTTTGCTAATTCTCATAGTTGATAACAAAATCTTCAAATATTTCAAGCACAAGATGAAAAATCTCTAGAATTAGCAATTTTGTAAGTTGTTTCAACTTGATGGCTTTCTTTATCTAATTTTATATCAAATTTGCATCAGATAAGTTTTTCTGTAACAGATGCACTCCAAAATGATGTAATAAATAATTTTATAGCTAAATCACAACAATGTGCTTAAAATTTATTAAAAGAACTTGATGCTGATTTTATTTTAATAACAAAATTTCTTGCAGATATTTTATCAATAATTTCAGCATTATATAAAATATTTTAATCTGATTATATAGCTTTTTCAAATATTCATCAAGAGTTAAACAAAACAATTCATTTTATTACTATTGAATTTATTAGATATCCTGATAAAAATATTGAACCAACATTAGGAACACATTTACATGATTATTGTATACAATATTCAGTTAATGTAATTCCTAATTTT